GACAACATCGGGAGGTTTTCGTTTGGAGAGCGCAGGGCTGGGCCACCTCCTGCTGCCTGCCTTATAGTCAGCCCTGTGGCGTGTGATCATGGGCTCAGCCGTCGGAACTCAGAGCACTCTCCACAGCTGGGAAAGGTGCGCAGGCGCTTTCCTTTAGGAAAAGGGAGGGGTTCCCAGAAAAAGTTCTGAAAAACAAAGATCAGAATACCGTCTCCCCTCTCTTGTGCTTCTCCAGTGCAGGGGTTTAGGTTTATTTTCCTTGGTTGTTGCCAAATCAGTGTTTCCATTCAGTAATCATAATTTCATATTTTTTCACAATCATCCCCTACTCTCATCCAGACCTTCCATCTGGAGGGGTAGTGTGCAAGAGGGGCCTAACGCCTTCACAGAAAAACATTTTTGTACAACTGAACTAGAAAGACATCATGTTTAGGAATTGTTCAAGACAGAATCCTGAATTTTCAAAAAATTTCAAAATCAGTTTACATAACCTCCTTCCCCTTATCCAGTGAGCAGCCTAGAAAAGGTCAAGCCCTCTTTGAAATATGTTTTTATTGATTTCATAGAGAGGAAGGAAGAGGGAGAGAGGGATAGAAACATCAATGATGAGAGAAAATCATTGATCAGTTGCCTCCTGCATGCCCCATACTGGGGATCGATCCTGCGACCCAGGCATGTGCCCTGACTGGGACTTGAACTGGGACCTCCTGGTGCATGGGTCAGTGCTCATCCACTGATTAACACTGGCCAGGTAGGTCAAGCCCTTTCTGAGGTGAGCTGCATTGAATAATCCAATTCCACTAGGAGAAAGGTGAGGGAAGCAGAGTCAGGTAATGAGTTGATCGTTGCAAACAGCAGCTCATCAGGGGAGCCAGACACAAGGACCCCACCACAGTGAGACATGTTCCCGAGGGGGTCAGGAGCCTTTTCAGCCTGTCAGCAGTGAGTGGAGGGTCACAGCCCCTGAGAGGTATCCTCTCCCAACTTGCAGCTTTGGGCAAGTCACAGGTTAAGTCAGTCTCTGTCAGAACATACAGCTGGTCAGCAGCTTGATTTCAAATGGTCCCAGCAAAGAGAAGCCCTTTCCTGTGGACATTTGTATGTGGTGCAGACAGTTTAGCCCAGCATTCTTGATTTCCTCTCGGTGTAGGCCCCACGGAGAGGGGACCTAATGTGCAGAGGTCGCTCACTGTCTGAGTTCTGTTTATGGCGCCCAGACCTGCTTTCAGTTCAGCTCACACTGAGCCTGGAAGCTATACCAGACAGTATCAGCTTGTAGCTTAGAATCAAGCCCAGGCAGTTAGGATCTGTAAGTTAGGATTTTTTTTTAAAAGCCAGGGGCTTTTCTACAGCAGCACCAAAGCCAAGATGCTGCAGGGCCGGAAAGTCCCCGTGGCAGCCAAGGCTTTCCTCCACCCTTTTGTCGTGTCTTTCTTTGAGTCCAAATTGACCCACAAACCTGCACGTCTGTCTCTAAGGGTCAGACTTCTGCTTTCACAAGCACTCACTAGCAAACTGAATCTGCTTTTTAGAACTTCAAAAGTGTATTTCCATCTGTGGATCACCTCTCTTTCTTAAATATGTCCCTCTTGCCAGAGGCTCCAATAAGCAGAAGTCTGTATCATCCATTGTGTGGGAGAGTGGAAATTTCCCCCTCTTTTTCCTCATTGTTCTTCTGGCTGATCTAATAATCAAATTGAGGATGGGATAGGTTAATAGGAGAAAATAATCACATTTATTATTTATGTACATTCGGGGTTTTGTAAGAATCTGGGAAGGATGGACAAATGGGGCAGTTGAGACTTATATATCGTTTTGAGCTAAGAAGAAGGGTGGCTAGGATAGCGGTTTGGACTTCAAAGGGAATGTAGGCAATTCACGGGTAGGTGGAAAGGAGCAAATATTTAGTGAACAAATTCTTGCAGGGCCACCCAGAGATAGTGGGACAGGAAGGGGAGTCTAGCAGACTTTTCTGGGTTTCTCCCTGTCTGCCTCACTTGGTTCTTATTATGCTAAGGTGATCTTCCTTCCTGAAGCAGGAGTTTTTTAAATCTGAATTCCTTTAGGCAGGTAAGGGGTAGGGGGAGGGTAAAAGGCTCTTCTTGAGTCTTTTGTTTCTTAAAAATAACCAGCTTGCCCTGACTGGTTTGGTTCAGTAGATAGAGAGTCGGCCTGCAGACTGAAGGGTCCCAGGTTCGATTCCAGTCAAGGGCATGTACCTTGGTTGCGGGTACATCCCCAGTGGGGAGTGTGCAGGAGGCAGCTGATCGATGTTTCACTCTCATTGATGTTTCTAACTCTCTATCCCTCTCCCTTCCTCTCTGTAAAAAATCAATAAAATATATTTTTTAAAAAAACAGCTTAAACGATATCTCAAAAAGTCATATTTTGGGCTAGCAAAATCTGCTCCTCCTCAATAGCAAAACCCATCAGTTACAGAAACTTGTCCTGTTTCCAATACTCAGTTTAAATTACAACCCACCCACCAGTAGCAAAAAGCATGGAAGCTGTGTCCCAGACACGTTTTTTTCTGTGCAGCTTTCCCTGATCAGGATGATTCCTCTGGCATATATGGAATTACAAACATTTAACATTTTCTATCCATTTTTACCATACATTCAGATGTGATAGCCACAAAATACAGAGCCACTGCAATTTCCACCTTTTTTCCCCCCATAATTACAAATTTACTTAAAACTTTAACATATGCTATACTAGTTAGCATGACAGCTGCCAGGGAAGATCGGGCTGGAATGCAGGGGAGGAAGGGCAGTGGGGGAAGCTACTGCAGCTGCAGCTAGGCTGGGAGAAAACTGCTGGAATGTTACCTCCCTCCCCTTTTTTTCTGGTTTATCTAAAATTTGGCTCCAGGCCTAGGACCTAATTTAACTCCCTTCCCCTCACCACTACTCCCTACCCCCTGTTTTAATATTTTGACCCTTTCACCTTTGGGAATTTGGGGGGGAGTGGGTGGTCCTTTCTCCTTTGCGAAGAAGAGAACAAACCCAAAGGCATCACCACTTTAACCAGGATGGCCCAGAGCAGCTGGGGACCCAGCAAGCCTGCTCCCCTGGAGCTGGATCTGTTCTCAAGTTCCACAAGTAGCTTTTACCTCTCACACACATTGCGCTCAGCTGCTGCTGCATGGCAGGGATGACCACCGGGGAACCCGAGGTTCATCATACCCTGCCCTTATCCTTCCTTTCCCAAACAACGCCCGCACTGGATTTCAGTGAGTCAGGGTCATTCTCCCGAATGCCACGTCTGATGTCAACTAATGTTGGGAGTCCCCAAGACCATTCCTAGGTTCAGTAATTTGCTGGGAGGACTCAGCATATAGTTGTACTCAAGGCTGTGATTTATTATAGTGAAAGAATACAAAGCAAAATCATCATGGGGCGAAGTCCAAAGGAAGCCAGGTGTAAGTTCCCAAGGAGAGCCTTTGGACCCACTTAAGTCCCGTAGTACAAGCGACAGCACGGGAAATGTTCTCATCAGAGACCCAGCACTTGGAGTGTTTAATGGAGGCTAATCATGTAATCACTCTCTGTCTAAGCATGTACCAAAATTACAGACTTGAGAAGGAAAACAGATGTTGAACATAAACCACATTGTTTTTCTAAACAGTTTAGATATAGTGAGTCACTTTGACCAGTTAGGGAGTGGGAACCTTTTATCTTAGTAAGGACAACCTTCTACTCACTTCCTAAATAAAGCCTAACCCTGGGAGCTTCCTTGCCGCCTCTCCTCTCATCTGCACATCTAGTCAGTCACTAGGTAGTACCATATCTACTTCCTTAGCATCACTTTAGATTTTCCACTTCTTTCATTCCATGATCCTCTTCGGGCTCCCATTACCTCTGGGTTAGTCGACTGTCACAACCTTTGGACTGGTCACCTTATCCAACCCTCCCTCCATTCGATTGTCCACTCTTTTAGTAAATTGAGCATGTCACTCCTACTTAAAACTCTTATATGAGTTCCACTGTTCTCAGGATGAAGTTCAAACTCTTTAATAAGATTTGTCAGGACCTCCCTAGTCTGGCTTCTTTGTGCTTCTTTAGCTGCTTCTCTCATCTACTTTGGCACTCACACTGCATGTTCCAACTTCCCGAACTCTTTTTATTTTGTCTAATGTACGTTGCTTATTTTCTTTAATTACCACACCTGTTCCCTCTGTCTATATACTCCCCACCCCACCCTGCAGCCTTTCAACCACTCCCTCTGGGACAGTGGTCACCAACCGGTGGTCTGCAGACCACTGGTGGTCCGTGAGGTCCGAAAGGTTGGCGACCGCTGTTCTGGGAGGTTCAGTGTACACTTTAGTTCCGGGGAGGAGAGGCTTTCCTTTCTATAACATCGATCACACTTTTGTTTAATGTTTCTCTTCCTTGCGAGGCAGTAAGTTCTGTAGAGCAGTGACCTCTGCTCCACCTCATTCCTGGCACCTAGGAGATCCTCAGAACTTATGGAACAAATTAAAGATATGGTCTCCACCCTTAAGCTCAAAGTCTAGTGGGAGCTAGAGTATGGTAAAGAAAGAGCCTCAATATGTATTATAAGTGCTCTAATAAAATGCTGGGGGATCATTTTCCTTGTATTACTTTATATTATTGAAGAAATTGACTTACAGCAGTCAGATCGAAAAGAGGAGAGTTGTGCCAAGCAGTGGAATTGATTCAGTTGCATTTGCCTCATTTTTTGCTCACTAGTTGGGCAGAAGTTGGACAGTAGACTGCATTCTAAGGTTATTATATCTCAAGACCTTCAGCAATCCTAAGCTAGTTGCAGAGCTGGGTAGTCAGCTAGCCATGCTCACTAAGTTGACTCACCTTCAAGTCACCCCTAAACAGGATTCAAGGATTAGTGCTGACTTTTTGTATATTCCCCATTCCAAATCATGTATCTTCATCTTTAAATTCTAGTAGCTGAAATTGACAGTGTTAAATCCATGAATACCACAGGTGCTGTTCATGTTTTGATTTTTCTTATCTTTCCAGCTTTGACCGCCATTGAAGGCACAGCACATGGAGAGCCCTGCCACTTCCCTTTTCTTTTCCTGGATAAGGAATATGATGAGTGTACGTCAGATGGGAGGGAAGATGGCAGACTGTGGTGTGCTACAACCTATGACTACAAGGCAGATGAAAAGTGGGGCTTTTGTGAAAGTAAGTGTTGATTTGTAGGAGGAATTTCCACATTGCTCCATGTCTTGGACAGCATCTTTAAGGCCTCTGCTAGCCATCTTTTTCCACCCTTGACAGACATGGGCAGTGTTGATAATGTGGTTATAGCCTTAAAGAACAGACATTAGCACAGGAAGCATGCAGTGTACTTACTTATTTCCAGCCTGTCACTCAGGCAGCTTATCACACTGTCTTATTTAGAGAGGGTTTTCTGTTGGTGTGCAAACCCTCAGGCAGGCTGCTAATTTAATAAATGTAAGACATTTTTTAACAGTAAAGGAAACAGCATTATGGAGAGGTTAAGAGTGATAGGAAGAGCCTAGCTTGTGTGGCCCAATGGTTGAGCGACGACCTATGAACCAGGAGGTCACGATTTGATTCCTGGATTGCTGGCTCTATCCCCAGTGGGGGATGTAGAGGCAGCAAGCCAATCGATGATTCTCATCATTGATGTTTCTAGCTCTCCTCCTACCTTTCTCTCTGAAATAAAAAAAAAAAAATTTTTTTTTTAAAAAAAGAGTGGTTAGGAATAATAACTTTTAAAAAACACTTTGAGCCCTGGCCGTTGTGGCTTACTTGATTGGGCGTCCTGTGCAATGAAAGGTTGCCAGTTAGATTCCCGGTCAGGGCACATGCATGGATTGCAGACTCGATCCCCAGTAGGGGACGTGCAGGAGGCAGTCCATTGATTTTCCTTTCTTGCATCGATGTTTCTCTCTCTCTCCCACCTCTACCTTCCTCTCTCTCTCTCTCAAATCAATTTTTAAAAAAATCTTTTAGCCCTGGCTGGTTTGACTCAGTGGATGGAGTGTTGGCCTGTGGACTGGGGGGTCATTGGTTCGATTCCGGTTAGGGGCACATGCCTGGGTTTCGGGCTCAACTCCCAGTGGGGGGCATGTGGGAGGCAGCTGATCAGTGAGTCTCTCTTATCATTGATGTTATCTATCTCTCCCTCTTCCTTCCTCTCTGAAATCAATAAAAATATATTTTAAAAAATCTTTTAAAAACACTTGGAGTAAGATGTGCTGTGCTTAGTAACATTTAACAAATCATGTATGTTTCACCTTCCTGCATGTTAATGTCAGTTTAAGGGGACTGACATCTAAAGGTATTTTTTCAGGAAAAACTTTGTAACTAATAAAGAACAGAAAATCTTAAACATATCTCCTTTGATTCCAAATAACACTTTCAAAATAATGGCTCTGGTAGATAATTAGGCACTTCTAGAAGATAACATCAAATATAGCCCATCTTGGCCAGTGGTCGGCAAACTCAGTCAACAGAGCCAAATATCAACAGTACAACGATTGAAATTTCCTTTGAGAGCCAAGTTTTTTAACTTAAACTATATAGGTAGGTACATTGTTATTAACTTAATTAGGGTACTCCTAAGGCTTAGGAAGAGCCACACTCAAGGGGCCAAAGAGCCACATGTGGCTCGCGAGCCGCAGTTTGCCGACCACGGATCTTGGGTATAGGCCAGTATGATTAGGTACTTTGGTATAATATCATCAGATTTTTTATATATAAGAACTGTTTCTATAAATATTGGTCCTAATGAAATACTCAGATATCTCTTAATGAGTTCTAGATTTCTGGTACAATACTATATTACAATAGCAAAATAATTTTTGGGAAAAAAATAAAAACAAAGTGTCCTTTGACTAAAATGGTGTTTTTCTGATTATTTTTTAAAAATATATCTTTATTGATTTTAGAGAGGAAGGGAGAGGGAAAGAGATTTAGAAACATCAGTGATGAGAGAGAATTATTGATTGGCTGCCTCCTGCACGTCCCCTACTGGGGATCGAGCCCACAACCCAGGCATGTGCCCTTGACCAGAATCAAACCTGGGACCCTTCAGTCCGCAGGCTGACACTCTATCCACTGAACCAAACCAGCTAAGGCTGACTATTGTTTTTTAATATCCCTTCTGTCCTTCTGATTTTAGCTGACTTGGCACATAATCATAATTTGCTACTGAAGTTTCAGTTAAATTATATTAAAAGTTTTAGAATTACTAGCAGAAAAGTACCCTCCAAAAGCAGGTTGATACTGCTTTCTCTAAAAGAACATGATGTAGACAAGTTGTGTGTTTTTTAAGTCTTATCTTTTGTCAGGTAAAGGCCACAGTTAAATTATGTGTCTTTGGAGTCAGCTTTGTAAAGAATGAAAGATCATTAATTGTGTTTGTATTCTCAAAAGACAGAATACATGCTGATGCTTGATAAATAATTGGTGTAGAATTAAAATCCATTTAAGTGCATCTGACATTTTGTTTTTAGCTGAAGAAGAGGCCACTAAAAGACGGCAAATGCAGGAAGCAGAAGTGATGTACCAGACTGGGATGAAAATCCTCAATGGAAGCAATAAGAAAAGCCAAAAAAGAGAGTAGGTAGCACTGCAAGTACATGCCTCCCCTAAGATAGGCCATTACAGAGATAAATAGCGAAGTTTTTTTTTTAAGTGTTTTGCCAAAACAGCGGCTTTGTTAAGTTGCATTATAAGAAGTTTAATACCATTTATGGACTTCAGTGGCATTGTTTTTTATCAGATATTAGCTTGTTAGGATAAAAAGGTTGTAATTACTGATCCCAACAATGTACAATGAGCAGAATGGAAATAATGGACTAAAGTTGTTGTTTCTGAGAACCAAGAATACATATGCTATTCAGAATTTAAAATTACATAAAACAAAAAAAGGAGTTGTCAGATGTTTGTTTTTTTCGTTTTTGCTTTATAATATTCTTGCAGACAAAGACTAGAATTTAAGAATTTACACTTAGAAAGAACGTAAAACAAGTGACTGTCTTCTAATATTTTATGTCCCTTTAATTTCAGCAGGCTTATATTCTGTGCAAAGATTTTTTTTTTAAATTGCAGTGGTTATCACTGGATTATTTATGGGACACCATATTACAGTTCTTTCATTGCACATGTAGTTAATGTTTTCAGAAGTTTTGGGAATTACTGTTAGTGTAATTAGACTATTCCAAGATGTTAGGATGAGAGAGAAAACTGGTACCTTACATAAAAACAAAGTAGCCAGGATGTTTTCTATACATAAGTAACATGACTATAGAATAAGCAAATTATTTATGTTGCATTTCAGTAGATCTTTAAAAAATGTAATAAAAGTTCCAGATTATTGCTAATGTGTTTTTAATTGTTTACATTTAAAGAGCATATCGGTATCTTCAAAAGGCAGCAAGCATGAACCATACCAAGGCCCTGGAGAGAGTGTCATATGCTCTTTTGTTTGGTGATTACCTGACACAGAACCTTCAGACAGCTAAAGAGATGTTTGAGAAGCTGACTGAGGAAGGCTCTCCCAAGGGGCAGACTGTAAGTGTACTTGCATTGGAGAGTCTCCTCCCACACAGCACTTGTTTATTTTAACAGCAGTTTACTCTTTGTGCCCTGACTTCTTTTGAAAAATAAGAATAAAATATCTTGCCCAGCCAGTGTGGTTCAGTGGTTGAGCATCGACCTATGAACCAGGAGATCAGGGTTCGATTCCCGGTCAGGGCACATGCCTGGGTTGCAGGCTCGATCCCCACTGTGGGGCGTGCAGGAGGCAGCTGGTCAATGATTCTCTCTCATCATTGATGTTTCTCTCTCTCTCCCTCTCCCTTCCTCTTTGAAATCAATTTTGAATAAAATATCTTTGAATATCAGTCTTTTTCCTTTGTCTGAGAACATTTATGGTCGCTTAAGGCATCTTGCCACAATTAATGTCTGTAGTTTTCCAGATTTGATCTATAGTGAATGAAACATGAAGTAATTGGCTTTTACCTAAATTACTCACCAGTGCATTTCTTTCCAAAGTTCAGCTGCTTCATCTCTTATTAATCTTGATGTTTTTAAGCATATACATTACAGAAGCAGTATAGGTCCATTATAAGAAACTAGAAATACAAACTAAAAATGCTAAGGAAGTCAATAATGCATATGTGCAACTAGACATGAGCATTGGTAGTATGTTAGTGCATGCACAGCCTTCTAGACCTTTTTCTTTGTGTATAGATACATACAAATTCTTGATTAAAATAAGATGTCATTGTCTACTGTTCCATAACATGCTCTTCTCAATCGTTAATCTTCACCTTTCCTTTCCAGTAAATTTCTACAACATATAATAACCTTAGCATATTCAGATGGTATTGAACAGAACATTTACTGTATATCAGTTTTGTCCAAACCTAACCCCGGACTATACCTTATATTTGGTTGTTATTTCTAACATTGCCATCCCCTTTCTTTTTTTTTCTGTGTTAGGGCCCATTTTCTGCAGAATGTCCTAACTCAGTTTACCCATTTACTTCTGCATGGTGTCCTTTAGTTTGTTTTTTCATCATCTATATTTCCTATAAACTGGCTATCACAGCTAAAGACTGATGAACTCAAGTAAAATATTTCTGGCTGGACTCTATTATGGGGATGTTCTGCATTCCATATTGCATCACACCATTTGATGCAAAATATCTGTTTGATTCTCTATGGTAAGGTTGACAACTAGGATTTAGGGTGCCACCACATTTATTTAAAATGCCTTCAATAGCCCTGACCAGTTTGGCTCAGTGGATAGAGCATCAGCCTGCGGACTGAAGGGTCCCAGGTTCGATTCTGGTCAAGGATGTGTACCTTGGTTGCGGGCACATCCCCAGTAGGAGGTGTGCAGGAGGCAGCTGATCGATGTTTCTCTCTCCTCGATGTTTCTAACTCTCTATCCCTCTCCCTTCCTCTCTGTACAAAAAATCAATAAAATATATATTAAAAAAATAAAAATAAATAAAATGCCTTCAATAATTCAGGTTTACTGAAGGTTTTGGATTTGCTTAGTCACAGTTAGAAGCCTGTTTTCAGACTATTTCAACATTAGTTTATACTTTGATGTTGTCAAGGCAAAGGATAGGACTTTACTAGTGCATTCTTTGATTGGTTGAATTTTTTTAGAAAATGGTGTGCTCTAGCATTGTAAAGTGACCTTCCTTGACCACTTCACCTTGACCTCTGGCTGCCTCTTTGTGTTCCTGGGATAGTGGATCTTGGCAATCTCTTATCCATTTCCATTGTGTATGCACCTTTGCGTTGATGTAATGATGTAGGAGTTGTTCTGTCCTTATAATAGTTGTTCATCAAGATCAAGTAAAAGCCATATTTGTGTTCAACCTTGTTTTTCTAGTTAATAAGTTATTAAATTATCTTTAATCTTCAAGCTAAATATTTTGACTTGTTTAAAGTTGTATTTCATTGTGTAATTTGTAAAACCTTGAATGCATTTCTGAGGCTCTTTAATTCCAGGTTGTACATACTTGCAACAATTTAAATTGTTTCCCATTTAAAGATTCGTTCATCTTTTCATAGTACATAAAACTATGTCTGTCTTGGATAAACTTCCACCAAAGGCAGAATTCTTACTTTTATCATTTTATTTCAGGCTCTTGGCTTTCTCTACGCCTCTGGACTTGGTGTTAATTCAAGTCAGGCAAAGGTAATATTATTAAAACTTTAATTTATATGACACTTTCAATTGAGTAAATACATGTGCCTATGTTCAATTAAGTATCTTTTGTTCATTCACAGGCCCTTGTTTATTATACTTTTGGAGCTCTTGGGGGCAACCTAATAGCCCACATGATTTTGGTAAGTAAGACTTAAATGGAAAAATACTGACATTGAGTAGCAGAAGAATTTTTGGTCAACAAATAATCACGACTTTTCTGACTTTCATGATTCAAATTTACTTTTATTCACTAAGACCAAATACTCAATTGAATATTCTTATTAATGAATACAATAACAATCTACATGTGGATGAAAACTGTTAGAGTTCACAATTTTTTATGAAAATGACTAGTTTGGCTGATTGTCCTTAAAATAAATATCTGATAAATGGCTCTTTTTTTTAAGTTGTAATTGTTTGTCAAAGTCATTTTTTTAGATTGGTTGTCATAGATGTTATATTGAAATTGATGAAGGACTTACTATGTAAAGTACCTATAAAGTTCTTTAAACCTATAAAGTGGTCCTTTAAAGTTCATTACAGAGTATCTTTTATGTGCATTTGATACCATTGATCATTTAAATGGCTTAGTGGTGAAATAGAGAATTTTTCCACTAAATTCTTTACTGTGGTGTATTTAATCTGCCTTGTACTTCATAAACTGACTTTGGCTAAGTCACATGACCTCCAACTCATATTACTATGTTTCAAATGAATATATAAATTCATTCTTACAAGGACATAAAGGATAGAGTAAGCAGAAATGAGACTGAAAGCAGAAAAAAAAACAGGAAAAAATGTGGAAAAGAGTTTACAGCTTAGTCATTGATGAGCTATGATACTTTAAAAAGAAGGAAAATCTATTTCTCTGGCCAGCTGGGTGGGTCCTAATTAATTTTACTCATACATTTCCAAAAATATTCATTGAGTACATGTCATTGGGATACCAAAGATGAGTAAGATACAATCCAACAAGCTTTTAATCAAGAAAGGGAGGCACAGTTAAGGAGACCATTATAGTACAGCCTGAGAATGTCAAGGAATCACCTAGAAAGTGGCATTGGAAGGAGAGGGATTTAAGGAGGTACTTCTGAGGAAAGAAGCAGCTAACCCTGTTCTTGAAGGGTAAATTGTGGTGAGTGAACGTAAAAAGCAGAGGTATCCAGGCAGTGGTTCTCAACCTGTGGGTCGCGACCATCGGAAAACACATATAACATATCAGGTATTTACGTTACGATTCATAACAGTAGCAAAATTACAGTTATGAAGTAGCAACGAAAATAATTTTATGGTTGGGGGTCACCACAACATGAGGAACTGTATTAAAGGGTCGCGGCATTAGGAAGGTTGAGAACCACTGATAGAGGGATAGCAACAAGAGGGAATGTGGTGTTTGCAAGAAAACACAAGCACTTTAGTGTGGCCAGACAGTAGAATACCTACCAGTAGTTCACAACAGGGCAGGTGAACAGGAATCCCACAAGCAGCTGTATGTCATGCCAAGGAGCATGGACTTTGTCCTGTTTACATGGACTCTGTCTTGTTTACAAGGGTAAACTGCTGAGGGGGTTTAAGTGAAAAATAGGGTTTGTTCTAATTACTTACCAGTCGTCTTCAACAGCAGCTACAGATTAAGAACATTAAATATTATACATGCTATTATACAGTAATGCCCTAAGGATTGTTAAAGCTTATAAAGTTATTTTGAGTCTGTGCTAAAAGACTCCAGAGAGCTCTACTTTCTGTTCCTTGCTCTTTATTATTAGCTCTCTTCCCCGTATTCTGAAGTCATTTATTGCTGGGCTGCTTCTAATAGTCCCTTGACTTCCCTATTTTGCTCATTTGTTGCTTCTTCTTTGCTAATTTGGAAGAGTAACCCTTTTTTAAAATTGTGTATAAAATAAGAATAAAATCTGTTCCAAGCAAGACCTTAATTTTCTCCTATAGGTAAAATGCGCACACTGCATAAAGTTCATTGCATCAATTTTGATTGCTCTAGGAAATTTATTTTCTAGTTCTTAGTCATTTATAGTCTGCTTGTTGAAGTGGCTAAATAAATTGCCTCATGACCTAAAGCTCGGGAAAAATGGGGTGATAGTGTCCTTGGACCAGAAGACAACAGAATTGCATGCTGAGTATGGTTAGCTGTATTTGTTCCAACGGATGCACTGAAGCACCTGAAACCGCCGTCTTCTCACTGAGGCTGTGTTGCAGGGCTACCGCTACTGGGCTGGCATCGGGGTCCTCCAGAGTTGTGAATCCGCACTGACTCATTACCGTCTTGTGGCCAACCATGGTATCTATGTTTTTGCCTTTCACCTTACAAAACAAAAACCAATAAAACAATTAATTTTAAATACATCTATTTTTATTGCACCACTTGAAATGTCATGAATGGCTCTTTTCAAGTGGAATCGTCCTTACCCTAGTTCAGGGATGGGGAACCTTTTTTCTGCCAACAGCCATTTGGATATTTATAACATCATTCACAGGCCATACAAAATTATGAACTTAAAAATTAGCCTGCTATCTTTGGTCAAACTTTAGTTAACTCACCCCTAATGCCTTGGCAGGGCCAGATCAAATGATTTTGCAGGCCTTACAAGGCCTGCAGGCTGGACATTCTCCGCCCCTACCCTAGTTGATTAAGAAGTACTTACCTTTTTTTAAATTTTGCTATCGACTCCACTTCTTCAGTATTTTGTGGAAAAAACTAAATTTACTTTAGATTGCTGTTTTATATCTATAAACTACTATAGGAACAGTTTCCTGTAACATAACATCTGTCAACAATTTGGCAACTCGAATTGTACTTCTCTCTGTGGGACACCTGCTGACTTTCATCCATGTCCTTACTTTGTCCCCCTGTTTCAGTTGCTAGTGATATCTCGCTGACAGGAGGCTCAGTAGTGCAGAGAATACGGCTGCCAGATGAGGTGGAAAATCCAGGAATGAACAGTGGAATGCTAGAAGAAGATTTGATTCAGTATTACCAGTTCCTAGCTGAAAAGGGTGATGTACAAGCACAGGTATGTGTTTCAACATCTCATGTACTGTCTTAATGCATTGTGTATTACAGTCTCTGGGGCAAGCACTTATATCTGTAAGTAACATTTTTATTGCTCTTAGCAGTTACTAGCTATGTTATTATTAGCTATATACTCTCAAGACATTCCATTTGGACTCCTCTGGGATGTGGACTAGGCATTCATGGTTCCTAAGAGCTGGCAAGGTGACTACTGTGCACCCCAGTTGAAAACTGCTGCTTGAGTGGAGCAGCATTACAGTGATGATGAAGGCTCTTCATGGAGTCGCCAAGGACAAAAACTGCCACTTTCTCTATAAACAAAAAGGCTCCGGGACATGTGGGATTTCAGATGCTCTTCAGAACTGTTCATGTTTCCTTTGCTCATCTTAGATCATAATTTTCTCAGATTAATTAATATTCTTGAGTATTTCCTTTAGAGTAGATTCATTGGTGGCAAATTCAGTTTTGGATTAAAAGCAGATATTTTTAGTGTTTAAAAATGTAGATTAAAGTAACGTAATATCTTCAGGAGGTAAGGCTAAATCTTTCAATTTTTGTAATAAATAGAAACCTTTTTATTACCAAGTGTTTTCTTGTTGGTTTAATGGTAATCACACTCCAGATGCTACCCTTGACTTTTGCCCCATTTTTATCATTTTCAGGTCGGTCTGGGACAACTGCACCTGCACGGAGGGCGTGGAGTAGAACAGAACCATCAGGTAACTTTTCTGTTCCTGGGGCTTTGCACTTCCTGTTGTAGCAAGAAATTCTCCAGGTGTATTTCTGGCTAAGTCAGTGACAATATCAAGTTTGTGTTATTAAGACAGCCATTACAAATGAACCTTTGAGATTTAACTAACCCCTGAGGAAGTTGAAGAATAAAAATGTGATTATACCTCATAGGGTTGGGAAATGTTTTATCAGTTCTAAAATCTAGTTCTTAATAATGCCAAAAATATATAAACAATGTATTTTTTTCTATAGGTATGTGATTGAAGTATATCTTAAAACTCCCATTAGAAAATATTTTGTAGAACTAAGGAAAATTCATTGTTGAGTTTATGAGAAATTAGGAGTACACAATGGTAATAGTCAGATCTATATCCAGTCATCAGATTTTGTCTGCTTTATGTCCTAAGTGTCACCATCTCTTCCCTTTTCTTCCATCAGGACACCTGTCACTTGTGTGAATTACCTACTGCTTAAATTTCCTGAGCAGTAGCCTGTCTTTGTGAACCAGACATCTGATCATATGGCTCCCTTTCTTAAAACTCTTGAGTGGTCCACAGATTCTAGTAGCTTAAAGACCGAAACCTTTACATGGCCCCTTAGGCCCCATTCCCATCTCCGTTTACCTCACCAGCCCCTTGCTTTCTCAGTCATAGTCACGAGGATCTTTTCTCAAGTCTTTGAAAATATCAAGAACCTCTCTGTCTCAGGGCTTCTGGAATGCTGGCCTATCTGGCTAGAGTAAATATTACCCCACCCCTTTCTTCATATAGCTAATTCCTTGTCATCCTCCAGAGCTCAACTGCAATATCTTTTCTTCTAATGTCTCCTCGGGCCTCAGCCCCACTCCAGGAATAAGTCATGTACCACAGTTAGGATTTCTGAAAATCTGTATTCCTTATGGCCCTTGTCCGTTGTAAATTAGTTAATTATGTAAGTTAGTTAATTAAGTTGTTTCCTCTGCTAGAACATAAGGTCCAAAAGCATGGGCTGCATCTGCCTTATTTTCCAGTCTTTTCCCAGCACCTCGCACTGCCTAGCACATAATAACTCCTCTATGAATGCTTGTCAGATTCAAAAAGCTTTGTTTTTCTCCCATGCCAGTTAAGTATTCTAGTGAAGGTTACTTCATGTACCCATGTCCCATCAACTTTAAGAATTAGATGTATCAACACAACTATGCCTAATATCTACTTTTAAAAATTCAGATGGCATTTTGACAGCTCTTATTGTCTTTGGGTCATTAAAATGTATGTCACTAGGCCAGTGCAGCATCAGATAAAATCTTAATAAAAACATTAGGTGAGAGGACAGAATTCTGATAAGTTTGTTGCATACCTTTTGCACAACAAATTTTGAAATATTTTTGGTGTGTATGCCACTTACCTGTGAAGCAACTGCACAAATTATTTTACAGGCTATGAAGAGGGAAGAAAAGGATTTCCCAGTACATGTTAATTCAACAAATATTTGCGTGCCTACTATGTGCCATTCACTGCTAGGCATTTCAGATACAATGCTTCAGTCCTTAAGTCCTTATAGAGCTTCAAGTTTAATAAAAGAATTCGATACTTTTTATTTTTTATTTATTTATTTTTTCATTTGCTGCTTTTTAAATGATCACAGCAAAAATAGGTAATAAATTGTGATTGTTGTTACTAAGGAGAATTAAAGCATCCAATAACAGATTACTGAGTGGGAGGTGGCAGTTGTCTCTGAAGAGACATGGGTGACATTTAAGTTGAGCCTGGAGGTAAAATTATTCCAGGCCAGAAAGAACAGTATGTACGTAGGTCCTAAGGCAGGAAGGACAAGGCTGGTATGCCCAGAGTGCAGAGAGCAAGAGGGAGCAATACTGAGATAAGTAGTGCCTGATCATGACAGTATATTTTCTACAGAACTTCAGGGGACTGTAAGGACCAGTATGAAGAGATTTAAGAACAGTCGCTTTGGATAACCCTAGAATAAAAAGCAGGGAGGTCAGGGGAGTATTTTAATATATTTTTTATTGATTTTTTACAGAGAGGAAAGGAGAGAGATAGAGAGTTAGAAACATCGATGAGAGAGAAACATCGATCAGCTGCCTCCTGCACATCTCCCACTGGGGATGTGCCCACAACCAAGGTACATGCCCTTGACCGGAATCGAACCTGGGACCCTTCAGTCCGCAGGCCGACACTCTATCCACTGAGCCAAACTGGTTTCGCCAAGGGGAGTATTTTAGAAGTCAGGTGAGAGATAATGTAGCTTTGACTAGAATTGTGGTAATGGAGGGTAGAAGGTAGATGGATTTGGTGGTAACAGGACTTATTGATAAATTGGATATGGTGGGGGGGTACCTTGGAGCAACCAATAGGTGTCATGTTGCCATTTACTTAAACTGAGATTCTGCCATGCAACAAGATTTTTGAACTGTTCCTGAAATAACTATTTTGGTTAAAAACCAAGGGTGGATTCTATTAAAAACTATTTTTAATAAATTCTTTCCTCACAGAGAGCGTTTGACTACTTCAATTTAGCAGCGAATGCTGGCAACTCACATGCGATGGCCTTCTTGGGAAAGGTACTCTATGTCCCATGAATGTATTGTGTAATAGCAAGAGGTGTTTGCAGAGTGAGTACATACTGTATTCAAGATCTACAATCTACCCAAAACAAACTGGAAATAACATTTCCAGGGCAAAGTTATTGTGTCTTATCCTAAGGCATTTCCAATCTGAGGCAATTTCCTAGGTGACTTAAACGTAATAGCATTTGCTCTTCAGTATGTTAATTCTCCACTGATATTAACCACCACTATCCAAGCTCCTACTTTTCATATATCATCTATAATAATATCTGTAGTAATAAAAGTGTAATATGCAAATTGACAGAATGGCCCAACAACAGAACGACAGTCCGGATATCCTTCCGGACAACCTTCCAGGTGAAGCTGGGGCTGCAAGGGCCGAGGCAGCCACCGAGGCTGTGAGGGCTGAGGCAGCCGGGGCTGTGAGGACCTACTCTTGCACGAATTTTGTGATAGGGCCTCTAGTACATAATAATGAGGAATCAATGCTGTGCGGATTTTTGCTAGTCTGTCATAATTACCTGTTAACTTCCATGCTGAATAAAGGCACTTAGATTTTGTTGAAATTTGTCTGCAGACCTTTTATCATCTTAAATGAGACAGCTATTACCCACCTGTCAGTGCGGTCCTTTTCTCAAGAGGACATTTAAGTCTAGAGACTTAATGAGTAGATTCCATATGTCATAGCACAATCTATTAACTTCCTTTTTCATTATTTTGAAAGCTATTCTAGTGTAAACTAATCAGTATTTTCATCTATAACCAAATCCTATGTTAGGAAGCTCAGATAGAATATATCTCAAAGGTTTTTTCAAAATAGAAAAATCTAATCAGTATTTGCCACAGGATCACAGTTAATTGGGGCCTAAGAACTTTACATTTAGATTTTAGACAATAGTGGTGTTCCTCACGATTCCTGTTAAGCATTTAAGAACTTTTCATTTGAGCCCTTTCAATCTTTGCTCTAATTACTAACTAACCCTATCTCAAAAATGATGTCTGTCGTTAATGTGTATGTGGATAAAAACAGTATTGGTCATTCTGTTCTTTCTTTTTGTCCTTTATCATGATCCCTGAGATTTTAATCATTTGGTGCTTGAAACCTTTTAGAATAACCATTTAGTTGTTTCTTTTCCTGAACTTTCACTACCTTCAATCTTAGCCTGGGGGAAGTAGTGGTAGAGAAGAACGGAAAAGACATTGCTGATAGCCTTCCTTTCCTCGTTTAATCACAGGTCCCAAGCAATGTGTCAACCCAGTTAACTGCACTGGGATAGAGTGAGAAAATAGATTCCTCTGGGGGTTAAAGATTTCTTCTCCTGAGATTGACCTATAAGTTGATTTATATATTTATGTCTTTATATATTTACCAGAGGCCAGGTACACAAAATGTGTGCATGGGTAGGGTCCCTAGATCAGGGCCGATCTGCGAGGCAACCGGCAGGGCGATCAGGGGACCCCTCTTGGCACGCGCTGTGGCTGGCCTGGGGCCTGTGGGCTGGGGGCAGCTCCTGTGTTGAGTGTCTGCTCCTTGGTGGTCAGTACATGTCATAGCGACCGGTTGTTCCACCAGTCATTCCACCTGTTCAGTTAATTTGCATATTAGGCTTTTATTATATAGGATATTAAATTCATGGACCAGATGGTCATAAGGTAAATCATAAATTTGATATGACAGAATGTATAATAGTATAAAAATGTCTACTTTTCAGGTTTTGCTTTTAATTCTAAAATATCCTTTGGGGAATTTTAATTTTGTTAAAAGATTTCATGAGATCTAACAAAAACCAGAATGAGATGAGATAGGAGAACAATGTAATTGGAGAGAGGATTATGCCTCATAATAAAATTGGGGTCTGTTTTCCAGATGTACTCAGAGGGAAGTGATATTGTGCCTCAGAGTAATGAGACAGCCCTTCACTACTTTAAGAAAGCTGCTGACATGGTAAGACCTTGTGACTCAGTACATTCAAATGTGTATCACGTTACTATTATTTTAATAAATAAGTTTATTATATTAAAAGATGAATCATGACCGTCATGCCATAAATTAGTGAAAGCATTCATGTGAATGAATTGAATGAGGAAAAAAGTTCTCAATAAAAAGCAATTTTTTTAGGGACCAGATTATTGTATATTAAGCCTCTCTCAAAATTTTACTGAGAAATGTCCTGATCAGGGAAATGTGATTTTAGAAATGGAATTGAAAGTTACATAATTTTCCTTATCTGTGTTGCATCTTGAGGTTTAAAAATTACACAATTGGATAATTTTGATAATAACAGTACATAATTTAGGCATTCTCTGGTGCAAAGAAAGCAACCTATGAATACTTAAGAACCTATATGCCTCCAGTGTGTACCATACACATATCTCTTTGCCAACTAAAGTCTCAAAACAATGGTTATCTTTGGTTTTGGACACTTCAATAATCGTAAGCATTTCTTTGCTGCCTAATCCCAGTATTGCTGTTATTACATGGTTGTTGACTCTACCCCATGGAGTCTTCCTTCTTGTTTGAGGAGGAAAGTTACTAATTAAAAAACTACCCAAGAAAGTGACCTGTTTTTAGTCTTTAAAAGATGAAATATGTTAGTTATGTTTTATATCATAAATTCATGGAACAGATGGTCATAAGGTAAGTCATGAAAATTTAATTCTAAATGAATTTACTATTTACTCTTTTTCAGAAAATTTTAAAAACCCCAAATACCTAAAAGTCAATATTATGTTTAGCTTGATGGGAAGGAGAAAATTTTATTTTGAATTGAAAAGTGCTAAGATGGGTTTTGAACATGCTTGTTAATTGTTTATTTTGCAGGCATTTAGTCTTGCCTACTTTGTAATTAATTTTTTCACACTGTTGTCTCTGGTTTGCAGGGCAACCCAGTTGGACAGAGTGGGCTTGGAATGGCTTACCTCTACGGGAGAGGAGTTCAAGTTGTAAGTTTCCCATCTAACATTCTGATTTTAACAAGGAGTCAGTTGGTGAGGTAGGGAAGTATTCCTTAACTAGCTCCCAGCCAGCCTAGGCAGGCCACTTCATTATAACCAAACCTAAACTGTTTCCTGTTGTCCTTACCATCCTTCACTCTGTATTCGCTGTACCAACTGCCTTGTTAGAATGGCTCTGACTCAGGCACCTTCTCCTGAAGCTGTTTCTCATCCTTCCACCAATGCTCTCTACCCTGTCTACTCTTCCATCTCTCCTAGACTTGTACTTCTTAACTTAAGCCTAAGAAAATGCTAAGGTCTCTCCCATTTAGAGGAGAAAAGCTTTCTGTTCTACCCTTTGCCCTTCTAGCCACTACCTCTTTTCTCTGCAGCCCTTCGCTGCACAGCCAAGTTTTTCCAAAAAATGAACTATATGAGCTGCTACCGCTCACTCATTAGCTCAGAGCAATCAGGTTCTGCCTCATGAAACTGCTCAATACAAGTCATCCAGAAACCTCCTGAATGTCAACTCCACATTTTTTGGTTGTATATCATTAGCACTTTCTTCCCTGGAGTTCTGTGACTGCAAGGGCACTTGGTTTTCCTGAGCCATTGTTCTCATTCTTCTGTGCTATTTCCTGAGGTGGGATGCCCTGGAGTCTCCTTGCTATCCCCTTTTTCTGTGGGATATCTCTAAGCAATATGTTCTTTTTATTTGGGCCTGAAACTAAGAGCTAGGTTTGGGATTCTAATCTGTAGGCATTCCTTAGCATAAGAAACAGTAGTGTGATCTCGTTTTTATTCCTTCTAGTCATTTTAGGAAACTGAAGTTCCGTAGTGATCTTTGTTTCAGTTTATCTCTATGGATACATGATATTTGAAGTTTAATGATTGCATAATGTTCGGATGATTACCCTTATTTAATACTAGAAGAATTGAGGTTTTAAAAAGGATTGGTTGGTTAACAGAAAAGATACAACTGTTTCTTAAATCCTGTCCTTGTGTTCCACTGGTGGTGTTTATGCTTTCCGAGAGCCAACATGCAAATTGTCTCACAAAAGCTCGATTTGCTTTTCTTCAACATCTTAAATATAATCCCCCTGTGACTTCAAGTCTATTATTATCGGCTATAAAAATTAGAAGGTATTTCTTTTAATGGCTCTCCAAGACTATTTTGTGTGCTTTATTAATTTTTTTAAATAAATTAATCTTCTGACTTTCGAGTATGTCAGCCTTTTGAGGTTTCTCATCATGTGATTGTGTGATGAGATGATCTTTTTTTACAGAATTATGATCTGGCACTGAAGTATTTCCAGAAAGCTGCTGAGCAAGGCTGGGTGGATGGGCAACTACAGCTTGGCTCCATGTACTATAGTAAGTGATGGTGGAATTAATGATAAACACACCAAGATGTAAATTACCTTTTTCCACTAGATGTCACTATGATATGGAAATGAGAGTGTTGAATACTGGCTGATTCATGTTCTCCCAATTCAATGATCTGTGCATCTTGCTTTTTATTGTAAAATTATGTTGATATATATTAATGTACAGATCTGTGTTGATAGGATTCACATTTTTCCCGAGTAAGAATTCTGAATTTTATTTTGTTTTATCCTCTACTTCTCTGATGCTTCAGCTGAATCTTATCTGAGACTGTTCCTGACCTTTCCTGTGATTTTCCTTACAGATGGCATTGGAGTCAAGAGGGATTATAAACAGGCCTTGAAGTATTTTAACTTAGCTTCTCAGGGAGGCCATATCCTGGCTTTCTATAACCTAGCACAGATGCACGCCAGCGGCACAGGTGTGATGCGATCCTGCCACAATGCAGTGGAGGTGAGGGCTCTTCTACCAACTTCTGTACAGGAAATTAATTTTCCCAGTCGGAAGTCTACTGTTGTTTTTTGTTTGTTTGTTTGTTTAACATATTTTTATTGATCTCAGAGAGGAAGGAAGTGAGGGAGAGAGAAAGAAATATCAGTGATGAGAGAGAATCATTGATTGGCTGCCTCCTGCACGCTCCACACAGGGGATTGAGCCCACAACCCTGGCATGTGCCCTGACCAGGAATCGAACAGTGTCCTCCTGGTTTATAGGTTGACGCTCAACCACTGAGCCACGAGCCACGCCAGCTGGGCGGAAAGTCTACTGGTTTTTTGTTTGTTTGTTTTTTAAATATATTTTATTGATTTTTTACAGAGAGGAAGGGAGATGGATAGAGAGTTAGAAACATCGATGAGAGAGAAACATCGATCAGCTGCCTCCTGCACATCTCCCACTGGGGATGTGCCCGCAACCAAGGTACATGCCCTTGACCGGAATCGAACCTGGGACCCTTCAGTCCGCAGGCCGATGCCCTATCCACTGAGCCAAACCAGTTTCGGCAAGTCTACTGTTTTAATTGTTGTTTTCTTGTGTGATTTCTTCTAGAGTTGAAACAGACTTAGCCTACTGGTATACTGAGGGAAGACAGGGGGGTCTGTGTGGGGCCATCACACTTATTTTATTTACCCTCCCTTTTAGAATCAGTGTTAATAAGGGCAGATACTGTGTCTGCTGTCTCTAGCACCTAAGACAGTATCTGATACATAGCGTCAAAAAAGCATATGCTAGGAGGCTAAATGAATGTTACAAAGGGGTGTTTTAATATCTCCTAATTGGCACTTTAGAGTGACATCGATACATGTTTACAAAGTTTCTAAAGCTCTCTCTGATCCAGTTTCCTTACTTGTAAAATGTAACTGTTAATAAGACTCACCTTATAAAGTGGACTCCATGGGAGGGTTAAGTGAGTTAATGTACATAGTATACATAAATCACTAGAACAGTGTCTGACCAGTGTCAGTGGTATATAATTGTTTGCTACTATTTGTATAAACTATTCTAAAGATTAAGTGAAAGCTTCAAATATATATCCCAGACTTTACATATATTCAGTAAAATTACCCGACATTGAAAGAGCGTACTTACCACTCACGTGGCTAATGTGAAAATGATTTTCTAGCTTATCTTTCTTATTCTGTTGTTGTTGTTTTTTTTCTTTCCTGTTCTCACAGCTGTTTAAGAATGTGTGTGAACGGGGCCGCTGGTCCGAGAGGCTTATGACTGCTTATAACAGCTATAAAGACGGCGATTACAACGCCGCCGTGATCCAGTACCTCCTGCTGGCCGAACAGGGCTATGAAGTGGCACAGAGCAACGCTGCCTTCATCCTTGACCAGAGTAAGGTTCATCTGAGTGCTACCTCGGGTTCAGAATGCAAGGACTCACATCAGGTTACCTGTCTAAAAGGAAAAGCCACAAAGAACATTCTTTGTTGCTGTAAACAGAATTTGTCCCTCTTGTTTAAGTTATTTTACTTCAGATCTCTCACATCCAGCTTAGTTTTTTAGAATTGACAGTAGAAATAGATTTGACATTCATCATAAAATTGGCTGCTGCTTTCAGCAAATAACATTTTCACAAAATAGCAGATATAAAATACTGTTTTTCCAGCTTATGTGGGTCCCCAGAGTGGCCCAGTACTCAGTCTCATTACTGGTTCTGTGGATAAAACGTGTTTCAGGATGTAATGTCCTAAATGCAGTGATTCCTTGGAACTCAGTATTTTATTCTAGTACTTATTTAATTTTAATACAATATATTTTCCATTTATTATTTGTTATATTCCAATTCTTATTTCAGTTATGCTCCACATACTCGTTCTAGCTTGAAAATGAAGCCTAAAAGTCTAGTGTCTTTCCCTAAATGCCTGGTTTGTGTTACCTCTTTCCATGTAGGAGAAGCCACCATTGTAGGTGAGAATGAAACCTACCCCAGAGCTTTGCTCCACTGGAACAGGGCTGCCTCGCAAGGTGAGTGGTTGGTTCATCTTAAAGGATAAGGAACCTCTCTTTATTTTGTTTTTTTGGGGGTGTTTTCTTAAATCTCCCATAAAAATTTAGTCCTGCCATTCATCACCTTAAAATTAAGCAGAGATACTATTGCTTAACTTGTTAGCATCGTGATTGGTATTTATTCTTAAAATGGAAATTCTAGCCCTAACCAGTTTGGCTCAGTGGATAGAGCATCGGCCTGTGGACTGAAAGGTCCCAGGTTCGATTCCGGTCAAGGGCATGTACCTTGGTTGCGGGCACATCCCCAGTGGGAGATGTGCAGGAGGCAGCTGATCGATGTTTCTCTCTCATCGATGTTTCTAACTCTCTATCCCTCTCCCTTCCTCTCTGTAAAAAATCAATAAAATATATTTTAAAAAAAATGGAAATTCTAGTCCCAGGGCTTCTAAACTGAATTGCAAGGTATTTGTACTAGACGTTTAAGTCATGCTATGGTTTTCTCTCTGGTTTTTAGTTTGAAACCCGTATATTATGTAAATGAAAATTGAATAGAATATTAGTCCAAACCCCAAAAGATTTTAACCTTTCTCCAGTTTTCCATTTGACTGTTTCTTTCTCTCACAAACTACTCTCCATGTTTTGTGCCTACCATCCCTTCTTCAAGCATAAACAAGGGTCCAGTTAAATGATTTTAAAATGTAAATGACATCATAGAATAGAGCATGATCATTTAAAAAATATTATTGGAGCCTAGCTGGTTTGGCTCAGTGGATAGAGCATCAGCCTGTGGACTGAAGGGTCCCAAGTTCGATTCCAGTCAAGGGCACATGCCCAGGTTGTGGGCTTGGTCCCCACTAGGGCGAGACATGGGGGGGGGGGCGTGTTGCCACCTACCTTGTTCTACCTCTCCTTGACTATTACAAAACCCTCTTCAGAAGAGTAGTTCTAATTTAAATTTTTACTGAATTTATAGCTTAGCTAAAGGGTTGGTTGTAAAATTTGTGTACTACAAATTAAAATTCTGTTTTATGTAATCATGTTAATAGGAAGAGAAATAACAGTGTGATCTGTTTTAAATACTTTATTTATTGGCAGTTTTGCATTTAACTTTTGTTTAAGGCTATACTGTGGCTAGAATTAAGCTTGGAGACTACCATTTCTATGGATTTGGCACCGATGTGGATTACGAGACTGCATTTATTCATTATCGTCTAGCATCTGAGCAGCAACACAGCGCACAGGCTATGTTTAATCTGGGATATATGCATGAGAAAGGACTAGGCATTAAACAGGTGAGCAGTACTTCAAATTAATGTTTGAATAATATAAACTGTGATTTGGGGAAAGGTCTGCATTTTTATAGAAAATAGGCTTTCTTTGGAATGTGCGCAGATTTTAGATACTAAGTTGTGAGGCAGTTTTGCAATATTTCACAAGATTGCCCCCGCATCTCTCTCATCTTCCAGCATACACACATATTGATATCCACACACATATATTTAAAATATTAAGGCAAAAACAGATTCATGAAAACAGAAAGGCAGTGCACCTTCTACTGATAACTCCTCGTTTGAGAAACTGTCCACCCATAATCAGATAAATTCTATTGCTTCTAAATTATTTTGAAATGAATTAAGATGGTTGCTATAGATAAACTTATTCCTGATTTTTTTAATTAAAAAATGTTTTGTCAATTACAGTTACAGTCAATATTATTTTATATTAGTTTCCATTGTTCCACAGTGATTAGACAATCACATACTTTATAAAGTGTTCCCCCTGATATTTCCAGTACCCACCTGGCAGTATTCATAGTTACTAAAATATTATTGACTATATTTCCTATGTTGTACTTTACATCCCATGACTACTTTGTAACTACCAATCTGTACTTCTCAGTTCCTTCACCTTTTTCACCCAGTCCTCCACCTCCTCCCCTTATTTCTGACTCTTAAACCTTCCTAGTGAAGTCTAACTGTCTTTAAACCTTAAGTTTTGTCCATGTACCCTTAAAATTTTTGAAAAATTATATTATCTCGTGCATTTTTAAGTTGACATTTAAAATTTTTCATCATAGCCCAGCCAGTATTGCTCAGTGGTCTACACCTGTGAACCAGGAAGTCAGGGTTCGGTTCCTGTCAGGGTACATGCCGTGTTGCTGGCTCAATCCCCAGTGGGGGGTGTGCAGGAGGCATCTGGTCGATGATTCTTTCTCATCTTTGTTGTTTCTCCCTTTCCCTTCCTCTCTGAAATAAATAAATAAATAAATAAATAAATAAATATTTTCATCATAAGTTTCAAAGGGTCTAAGTTCTAGCTATTTTAAATAAGAACATTTTTAATAAAATGTTTAAATTACTGTAAATAATTTGACATGCCCATTATTACTTTTTTAAAAATGTGTAGTAAATTCTTTAATTGCATATTGCATCTTTTTCTTTTCTCCCTGAATTCATAATTATAGCCTAGTATTCCCATTGAAATGTATGTAATTGTTGTTTGATGACTAATATAAAAATCACATGTAAGTTGTGACCTGTATAGAATACACCTAGGAATCAAGATGACTAAAGTCTTATAACTCTGATACTACTTTTATAATAGATTATAAATCAAGAACCTAATCAGTGTGCTTTTCTCATCTCATCATTTAATTTGTAATGTAATATGATGTATAGCTTATGTAAATTCTTACGAAAAAGAATGTGATAAAAGGCATCAGAGTGATGAGAGGGAACTCTAGGATTCAACTTTTAAGAATAATTAATTATGTGTAAAAATAACAGTAAATCCATTCGTTTTTATAAGACATCATAATGACCTTTTCCCATTTTGTTCTTATTTTTTAAATGAAAGAGACATTCCTGCTACTAAAAACTAATCAGCATCTAGTATAACTAGAAAAATATTAAGTATTAAATAAGACCAGGATTGGTTATAATTGAAATAAATAATTCAGGATATATTTGATAGCTTCAATTTAATTACCCTATTTACTCAAACACATATAGCCTGTATTATCATATAGTTTTATCCATGAACTTGAAAAATATGGCAGTTCAAAAAAATGTTAGTTATATATATTTTTAAAAATCAAAGACACTGACCATACTATTACAGTTAGCTGAAGGTGCCCTTCTTTTCAACTAATGACCCACCCCAGGTACATATAGGGAATAGCTGAAAGCAATTGTTTATATTTAAGTATGTGGGGGAAAGTCATCTTTAATGCTTAGCCTTTCTTTCCCATGTCTCGTGGAATTTTTTCCTAGGAGGATGATATTCTTTGACAGTAGTCAGGGTATAGAAGAAGTAAGTTTGGTAAATGAAGATTTCACAACTCCCACCATCCCATTCTACATATATCTGAATACTCCAACCTGTGCCAAAATTACCAGTGACTTGCTTTGCCCTTCACAGAAATCTAAGACAGGGAGACACAGGATGTGCCTTAACAGTGTCCCTTGGGAAATCTTGACTGTCTACTCCAGTTTGAAGTTCACTGCTCCAAACTGAAACCTGGAGCTGGCTAAAGTTTTAAGTAGGAAAAAATTAACTTGCAACTCACAGGTCACCCTTGGAAGTGTCCAGATTAACAGTGTTATGTGTAGCTGTAAGACGGTGCAGCATTTAACTCTGAAAGTCTACACAGCAAGTGGATGTCAGGTTGGGAGGGGAGCATGAATGAAGTCTTAAAAATTTTCAATTAAAATTTTCCAAATTAAGCTGTTAGGTAATTAAAGAACTTTTATCCAATTACAAGTTGGGTTTTCTTTAGGTAAGGGAAATTTTAAAATGAAACTTGAAAGATAAAATAAATTTTCCTAATGTATAAACTAAAAAACAATGATTCTTAAATTAGCAAGAAATGAATTTGGGTTTATCACCTATCTCACAGGATATTCACCTTGCAAAGCGTTTTTATGACATGGCAGCTGAAGCCAGCCCAGATGCACAAGTACCAGTCTTCCTAGCGCTCTGCAAATTGGGCGTCGTCTATTTCTTGCAGTACATACGGGAAACAAATGTAAGTGGCCCACGCCTTTCAGTTAAACACAAATGATGTAACCTCAGTCCAGAGGCTTGTATTTTAAATGTTGGGGGAGAGGGGAGGAGTATCCTGGGAGTGTCTGGTCTCTTCCCTTCTTCCCCCAGGTGAAGTACCCGCTGTCCTCATCAGGGGAGGGATGAATGTGGCCACAAAGCTGTTAGTAGTTTCAGGTAGCATCACAAGTGGTTCCAGTGCTAAAGCATTTTGCATTGATGCAGATGTTTTCTGGTTTGGGGAAAACTGAGACTGACCCATGGCAATTTGAAACAGTAGTTAACTAAACATTAAATCAGATGACTGCCTGCCTAGAAGTGACTCAGACCTCCCTAAGAAAAAGAGAATTTAGAAAAGGAGGAAGAAGAAGTAGAACCTGAGAACCTGCCTAGGCTGTTGCACTTCAGATTCTTGTGATAGTGAAACATGTTAAAACCACTACCAGAATTTGTTCTCTAAAAATACCTTGAACTATTTAAATAAGCTAAAGGCAGAACCTAGAGAGGAGATGGGTTAGCCATTCTCTTCCAAGCTACTGACTTTAGTTGACAACACTTATGTGTTGCCCTTAGGTTCTCCAGTTTTGCATTTTGTTTCCAATACCTAGAGTTCCTCAAAATGGATTAACTAGTACAGCATTGAACTCTGAAAGTCTTCAAATATATGCAGAAACAAGGGCTATTTAACTTTAATTCATTCCAGGAAAGGATGGTGTTGAAATCTGGTTAACATCTTTCAGAACAGGTGGATACCTCATCTCAGCAGTGGATTCCAGAATAGAACCCTCCTGTGTTACACAGATATAAATGTAGTCCATGCTGCTCCAGCATCTATAAAGAGAAGTTTGACTTCCCCCTCATGCAGCCCTAGCCCGTGCTACTGAGGGCTCCTGTGTATAGGGCTCCAGAGGACTGAGATGTTGAGCTCTGTCCTACCGATATCTTATGCATTTGTAATGGCAAATTTATAATTGCTTGGTAGCCTGGGCCAGGGCTGAACCCCTTGTTAATTGACAGGATCTTTGTTCCTTCCGTTAAAAAGCTAACAGTGTGGTAGTGTGCTGTTTCTCTGCCAGGACTATTCCAGACCCTGTCTCTCACAATTTTTAAGACTAATAAACTATTGATTACAGTCTAGGATTTGATTATGCAATAAAATATATTCTTTCTTTTTAAAACAGAAATATAAAGACAATAAAATGCCCTATAATCCTACCATGTAGATATTCTACCTAAAAAAAAATAAGTAATACTCTGCTGGTGTGGCTTAGTGGTTGAGCGTCAACCTATGAACCAGGAGGTCATGGTTCGATTTCTGGCCAGGGTACATGCCCAGGTTGCAGGCGCGATCCCCAGGAGGGGGCATGCAGGAGTCAGCCAATCAGTGATTCTCTGTCACCATTGATGTTTCTATCTCTCTCTCCCTCTCCCTTCTTCTCTGAAATCAATAAAAATACATTTTTTTAAAGTAGTAAGTATTCATGGCAAGGAAGTTGAATAGTAAGATAAACACAAAATCTCCCATCTCCATTCCCTCCCCAGGAAATGCAGCTAATAGTTTCTTATAATCTTTCCAAAAATATATAGTGCCTGTACCTGCAAATATATATTACTAGAGGCCCAGTGCATGAAATTCGTGCACGGGTAGGGTCACTAGACCTGGCCAGCGATCAGGCCTATCAGGGCCTTCTAGCTGCCGGCCAGGGCCTTCCTTTGTTCTGCGCCGTCCCCTGGTGGTCAGCGCACGTCATAGCAAGCGGTCAAACTCCCGAGAGGACACTTTGCATATTAGCCTTTTATATATATGGATGGGGACCTTTTAAATGTAATGTTATTTAAACACAAGGGATTATACTTGTCTCTTTGTGAATAAATGGCAGTCAGAAAATAAGAGGAATCATTTAAGTGACACTAGGACAATTAAAATATCATAGACTAGCACAGCCTGTGTGGTTCAGCAGTCGAGCATTGACCCAGGAACAAGGAGGCCATGGTTCGATTCCAGTCAGGGCACATGCCCGGGTTGCGGGCTTGATCCCCAGTAGGGGGCATGCAGGAGGCAGCTGATTGATGCTGTTTCTTCCTCTCATCAATGTTCCTATCTCTCTATCCCTCTCCCTTCCTCTTTCTCTAAAAAAAGATATATATCTATGTATATTCTATATATATCATAGACTAAAACCATGACTTTTAAGTTCAAATTCAGGTGTTAAATATTTAGTTAAACCCTAACCAGAAAGCATTATTCATTCCTCTATGAAACATTTGCACTCTGCCATCTTCAGTTACCTGAGAGAAGGGATAACATAGCCCTGTGTCACTAGAGCAGAGCTTCTTAGCCGCTGTGCCCTGACTGCAAATGGGCTCCAGGTGCACCGAGACTGACAATTTTCCCTGACCCTCCCTCGTCCCCAGTGCTCATCTCAGACATTTCCTGGGGGAAATGGTTGGGAATGAGTGCATTAGGTTGCTGATGAAAGGAAACCCTGCCAGGCACTTCACATACTCAACTGTTATGAAATAATAGCTGTTCCTGAGACACATTATTTTTTGAGTTTCAGTTCAAGGCTTTTAAAACCTTTTTAATAAAAACATTGTAAAATGTCCCTAAAACCAATTATTTTAATAAGTTCTGTATTTATCTCTAATTGGTGATATAATTTTCCTGATTTCTTCTCTGACATGTTAGTGAGCATAACGATTTTTCTATTCCCATTAAGATTCGAGATGTATTTACCCAAGTTGATATGGACCAGCTTTTGGGACCTGAGTGGGACCTTTACCTCATGACTATCATCGCGTTGCTGCTGGGAACAGTCATAGCTTACAGGCAGAGGCAGCACCAAGACATGCCCGGCCCCAGGCCCCCCGGGCCACGGCCAGCACCACCACAGCAGGAGGCGCCACCGGAGCAGCAGCCGCCACAGTAATGGCTGCGCCCAGCCTTGATCAATGACAACTGAGGGAATCCTTTGCAGAGAACACCTGCGTTTGATCTGGGACTCTGGCTCCGTGGCCACCTCCTGGAAGAGGCACAAGGAAGCATTGAATTCCTACAGCTGCTTAGAATCTGATGCCTTTATTTTCAGGGATAAGTAACTCTTACCTAAACTGAGTTGAATTTCAGTGCCGTTTGGAATAACAACTCTCAGTGGCTTTCCTTTTTTTGGTTTGTTCTGGAAACATACGTGAGACCCTCAAAGTAATGTCTACTGTATCCAGCTCTCTTGGGTCCTTTTGGTCATTCTCTCAATGTGCATAAGTTCTCCGATCAACCATCTTCAAGGTCTTATGCATCGACACTAAAAACTGATGTGTGAAAAGGAAAACCCAGTTACTCGCAAGTTTAACCTTAATATATTTGAAAGTCTGGAAATAGAACTTGCCTTTAACGTAAAAAAAAAAAAAGGCTTCAAAGTGTTTCAGAATGGCCATAGCAGAAACTTCTGCCAATCCACATGCAAGTACCACGTATTCAGCACATTTGTTACTTTATAAAAGGGAAGGAAGGGAGGTTTCTGACTGCTGGTGATTGTCATATTTTATACCACACTTCTCTCCTTCAGAGACTGAAAGGCCTTGTTAGCGTTATGTGTGAATTTCATTTCTTTGGAATGGAATATCTATAAAACATTGTGAACTGATTCCTTGAGCTAACACATGCGTTTGCCCCACCTACTTAATGTAATTTGCTTGTTTTAAGTACGCAGAGCCTTGATCTGGAAGCCAGAGGATGGACTAAGTGGGAGAAATTAGAAAGCAATATTATAGAACCCTGCATGGGGTGCTAAGACCATAGACATCCTTCCCCGAAAGTTGACCCAATAGTTCCCAGGGCTTATTTAGTTTGCATTTCTTATTGCAAAGGAACAGGTCACCCTCCTGAATTCTCTTAAGTATAAAATACTGCAAAGGTACGGCATATGTTGACTACCATGATAATACTAAGGCTGAGACAGGATCTAGGGTGCATGAAACTCAGTGGTCGAGGACAGCCAAAGCCTGTTCACACTGTTCAGGTGGATTTTCACTTTTGCCGTTTTATGTGACAGTGGAAAATGAGCCACATGCTCAGCTGTCATATTCATCACCCTCCCACTGTGAACACTAGGAAAAGAAGGCTATTCCACTCGAGAATTGTCTGATTAAATTGTATAGGAAACAACAGTGAAGAAAGCTTGCAAACTTCACATATCTTGCAAATGAAAAAATTAAACAGTTTGTATTTCTTTCCATTGTCTGAGACTACGTTTGCACCTGAGCAGGCTTTCTGGGCCTACTGACCTCAGTCTGTTTTCTTAACCTTTATACTCTCTTTCCATAACCCCTCACCTGCCAGAAAACTTGAAGAGTTTGTTATTGTAGAGTTGTAGGGCTGGTTCCTGAAGTTGGGGTTGCATTTAGAACCAGATTTAATTAGTCCGTAATGAACATGAGGGCTTTCAATGTGATGATGTATGCTTTTTTGCTTAGAGTAGATTTTACGAGACACCTGGCCAGCAAACTCTCCTCGAAGGCAGGAAATGTTACTCTCAAAAGTATAATGCCACTTTGGGTAGCTCTTGTGAATATTACAACTTGTTTGATCTCTTACACTTGGCGATTCAGGAGCAGTGGATAGGATATGGGGATGTCTTTACTGCCTCTGCCCCCACCCTTCAGAATCCTATCAGCCACGCTTCATTTCAAAGGAACTGTTTTAATTGATTTAAAGTTTAACTTCCACTTTTTCCCCTCTACCACCCACCTACTTTCTCCTTTAGCAGCATTTTATCTCTCTCTCTACTTCCCTCCAATACTTTGGAAAAACATGTCCTATAACAGTGTGCACTACCAAAGCTAGATGGGGAAGGGCAGTCTGTTCTTCATGCAGTAACAAGCTTCCTACCAGTTTGCCATTCACTGTGTCCTTTTTATTATTAACTAGAGGCCCAGTGCACGAAATTCGTGTAAGAGCAGGCCTTCCTTTCCCCGGCTGGCGGCACCGGCTTCCCTCTGGCACCTGGGACCGGGGACCTGGGCTTCCCTGGCAGCCCCGGCTACATCGTGTCCGGTCTAATTAGCATATTACGCTTTTATTATTATAGATACTCCAAATACCCCTTTCTTGGCCTTTTCCACTTCCTGTTTTACCATGGGTCTTTTGCTACTGGAAATTCGAACGGTATACTTAAAATAACTTCGTTCCTATGGCTTGGTGACGTCAGTCCTTCTGACTGTCTCAAAATACTCTGCTCCCTTCTCAAGGAACTGGTGTTTCTCCTAAAATAATGCTCAATACTTAACCTAATCAAATGGCATCCATTTGAATAAAATGACAGTAACTAAAGCTAGTTAATGTCAGTGACATTAAACTGACTCCGGGACTCAGGAGTTTTAATGGTAACATTTAGAGTTAGCAGGTAGAGTGCGGCTTCATTTCTCTGCGGTAGCCCATCACTCCCATCCTGTTTTCTGGTCTGTCTCTTCCTAGGGCATCTCGCTCGTGCATTTGGTGGTTGCTCACTCAGCTGTTTCAGAGCTTCCACATTATCCGTTTGCTTCCATTTTATGTTGCAAAGGTCGCATTGGTGTTTGGGTTTCTTTGTTTTTCTTTTTGTGTTTGGAGTTTTTGTTTCTGTTTTCTGAGTGAGGCTTATCTTTTTTTTTTTTTGGTTACTATTCAGAGGCACAGAAAAATAATTCAAAACTCCTTTTTCAAAGTTCATTATTTAACACTTAAATGAGGTTAACTTGTATTAATCTTAATACTCTTGACGATGTGTTACCCTTGTGCACATAAGATTAATTTGCGAGAGATTTACTGCTGAGCTGTCTTATCTTCGTGCCATTGGGAAGTTGTAGAAGCTTTTGTGATCTGGTGGTGATCTGATGCTTTATTTAATTTAAGGGCTACTGTTGCCTCCAGAAAAATTAAGTATTTCATATAGGATTTTTTTTTAATTTTTGGCTTTTTTTTTCCTTTTGCTCCTCATGTTTGTTCTTCAAACCAGTGTGTTGGAGGTATGCATGCAAACCTATAAATGAAGACCACAATTCTTGGTGTGTGTGGCATGTGTATTGTCTGGCTACATCTACAGAACACTTCCTGTCCAGAGGTTTGGACTGGCATTTCACATACACATTTCAATAAAATGCTTCAGGTAAAGCAGACCCTTTATCTGCCAGGAAGGGCAACATGGTACATTTGCCCCAATGACATCTCATACTTGTTTTCAAAGTAAATGTAATACATGTTGCACAATATTAGGCCTAGAGGTGTTCAAGAAATAAAGCAAAATAAACTTATATTTTCATGAAGATATTTTTATCAGTCATTGCTCACAAATATAAATGAAAATACAAAATTTCTGAATACCACATTGTCTGAGGCAATCAGTGCCTGATTTTTAATGCGGAGCAGTCATTGAGAAGTAGCTAAATTTCTCCTTCCACTTGGTATTTCAAGAAAATACAGAATAGCCCACGTAAAAAAAGATTTGTGTTTTAAAGTGACTATTTGCACAAGTAAAGTTCTGATTTTGTGTGCATGAAAAGGACGTGTTGGTTATGTGCAACGAGTCATCTCACATGTGCTGTCTTTTCTATTTGGAATGACACGCAAGCTGACGCTATTCTCTGGTTTATAAAAAGAAATCAGTGTTGAAACGATCAAGGTGCAACCACTTTCCATATTGAGAAGCTTTGAAAGACGGTAAGCTGGCATCAGAAGGAACACCATGGCAGACTCTTTTTGTAAATTTATTTTGTATTTAATTAAATACAGTATAAAGGCTGGTGAAGTGTAATATAATTGTGTAAACAAATCCTGTTAATAGAGAGATGTACAGATTCGTTTTGTACTGTACCTTGAACCTTGTGAAATAAAGATCCCACCTGGTTATCCTGTGTGCTGGAATGTGCCACGACCAAGCACCTTCCCCGTCGGCCTGTGCTTTAAACACCAGTGGCTCCATTTTTAATGAACCTTTTTGAAATTTCAGAAGCCTCTGGAAACATACATTTGGGGAAGTTTGAATCCATCTTTCCTTTCAACTCCTGAAATTCAGGTTTCTATAAGTTGAGTCTTAACCCAGGAGAGACCATGAATTTGCTAGGAAATGTTACCATTTTTTTTTTCAGCCTTTGATTCATAGTAAGCATGATCCACTTTAATCCTGATGACAGGAAAATGTATCTCAAGTTCCTTTATGCATGACCTTGTCCCAGAAAGTTTTAAGAGGGTTTACAGAGCTGCATATCAGACAAAGATAAAATTTATGTAGAATAAGCCAAATGATCTAAGGGGAAACGAAAAAAAGTATTAAGGCAGGAGTGAACTTTGTACACAAAATGCACAGCAGAAGTGGCTGACAAATCTGACCCTCACTTCCTAGACGCCAACGCAAAAAGGAAATTGAGCTAAAATGTTCCCACTTCGAAGCATCTGATCGTTGGCTAAGAAGTCTGATGATGCAGACTGCGGCAAGTGAGAAATTAGATCTCAGATTTCACTTCTGGGAGCACAGCCAGCCACCCCAGATGTCCTTGACTGACCTTGGCGAAAATAAAAGCTTTGGGGAAGTCAGAGCCTTAACATGAGCAGTTGGCTCATTCAACCCACAGTGGGGTGTGATGCTTATTTACCACTGAGCCCCTTTCTGACAAGTCGTGAAAAATGAGTTCTCTGTCTTCATTGGATGTGACTTGATGAGAAACAGCCTAACTTTTTATAACACTAACTTTGGTTATACTTGCCTTGAAATTTGCTTATACTATGTTACAGCAAATACATAGATATATGCAAGTAAAAAATTAGAAGTAATTTCTGTAGAAGAAACTAGGGTGGGGGGGGGGAGAGAAGGAAGATTTTTCTTGCTCTCTGGATATTTGTCAAATACTTGAATAGTCAAGTAAAAATAAAACAAGCTTTAGAATCTCCCAGTTCAAAAGGAAGTGCAGCGGTGATGGGTCTTGTACATTTCTTCCCGTGTCATTTCTGCCACGACTGTGGAAGCCAACAGCTTAAACAAGCTTATGATTGGATCCCGAAGATTCTACTAACCTTGTAATTTTTTGTTAGTGTCACATTTTGAGCAAAACTCTGACATTCCTGGTGGCCAAATATTTTTCATCTGGATTAACTTCTTTTAAACATGACCTTAGTGTTAATGCCAAATTGTGTATTAAATCCCACATAATTTTCTCCCATGTAAGTTGAATAGAATGTGGCCATTTAATTGACTTAGAGATTCATATAACTATGTTCAGTTGTTGCTCAATCCAGTTTCCTTTTACCTTCTCTCTACCTCGAATAGAACTCTATTGATTAGCCTGTCGGAATTAAAAGGGATTTCTCCTAAGTCTTGTAAGTATTACATAAGAGATTCAAGTGTCCTAAACAAGGATTCTAACTTTGAAAATAAAGACTGAGTCACTGAGTTTTGCATGATTCAAGGTTTAAAGGTGAACAACAGAAACTGCCATTCTTGGAAACAGTTATATCAAGATGTGAAAGCACAGCTGTGAGTTTCAGAATTGGCACCTCTGGGTTCCCCCGCTCTTCCCCACGCCCTTGCCTATAATTTGTTTTTTCATAGGGAAATTTGAGAGATTGATTTGTTTGCTCTGGATGAAATCTTCTGAAATGGGCAGAAACTAATCCTGGTTGTACAAGGGAGAAGAAGGAATCAGCTGGCTGGTCTTGTCCCCTTTGTCACTAGTCAAGCATTTACTTGAATTTTTCCGGTCTGCAGATCTCTGTTATCTTTTCTGGCATACTATTCGCCGCATCAGCAACCTTGGGAGTGAATAAATAGTCCATTCCTTATGGAAATCCTCAGTCTTTGATTTGCTTCTAGATAACTTCTCTCTGAACATAACTCCTGCTATTAACTGTGGGTACACGAGGGAGTGACGTGGACCAGCATTAGCTCCAGCCGCAAGGAGGATTGCTTTTAGCAAGGGCCTCCAGGACTGTTTCCTGATTTCACTGTTCAACAGCTTCTAATTTAACTCCAAATGCAACCCAAATTGTCTACAAATTTGACCCTAGACCTCCCATATCTGTTTTCCTGAAATAGCTGAAGTAACGGAAAAGGTGAATAGATCTCATGGAGACTTCTGGGCATCGATTCTACAAACTGCCTTCCATCCCCTTTGGCCAGGCCCACTGTCCCCCTCCAGTCCCCCTTGGACTTGCCTAGCCCCTCATTAGATCAGGTCCACCTGCTATGCTCTCTGCTGTATTTTTC